GAGCAAAACTGCTCGTCTGCTGGGACAGCGCAATCCAGCTCCCCAGCCTGGGTAAGCTGTGAAAGCAAGAGAGTAGTTTTGCATGTAACTGTAGCTGTCCAAGGGGTTTTGCTCACACGGATCTGCTGGTGTCTGTTTCAAACAAACACAACTGCGCTGGCTGAAATTTAAAGCACAGACCAAGCTTTTGAGCATGTTTTTGCTGTTGGTAGCGTGACACGAAGCATGGGAAGCACGCAGGCTGCGAGGTCGGGAAGCACAGTGCAGCAGGCGATGGACCCAGAGCCTGCCCTCGGTGGAAGCATCTCCACTAACCTACAGGCTCTGGGTCAGGCTTGACAGGTCAGAAAAGTCTTCTCAAAACTAGCATATAGAAAACCCATTTGCTATTTCTTCTGTGGTATGGTTACCAATAACTAATATTATTCAACAACAGAAGAGATTTCTTGTAAACTTCGTATTTATTGATTTTTTTGGGACAAATTAGATCTTCTGAATCCCAAAGTGTACATATATATATATTTATATATAGCTTTCTCCATAGGGAAAACACATATATCAGAGGAGGAGAGACATTTCTAAAGTGCCCCTTATAATACAGTACTGAACATGATTTCTAAGAGCATTAGCGTAAATCTGAAGTTTCTGAGTGGGAATGACAGACACGGGGAAAGAAGGGCTGCGGTTTGCTCTTTTCCCCACAGAACAGAAAGAAGTTTGCTGACTTTAAAAAACAAACAGAAAAACCCCAAAGAAACGTTTCTGGAAGCTGTGGAAAAGGCAGATGAGAACAGGGGGACCCAAGACACCCGGACCAGCTTACGGGCTGGCCGAGCATGTTCTTCAAGTGGAGGCCAACACCGATGAAGGGGTTCAGACATAATGGGAGAGAAAAACTGGCAAAGATGTGGGACTTGTAGGTGAGCAGGGTAGTGACACTGTTATCTTTAAACCATGAGGGAGTAAAAGATGAGGAGGTCAGCAGCATCACCTGTCCATACAGTAAAGGCCATTAAATAATCCACCAGAAAGTTCATTCACCTGTATCAAATAAAGTGGGAACTCTTCTCTCCATCCCGTACACTTCTTACTGTGGAAAACACAGAGCAGCTGCATGCCTGGGTCACTGCTAGTTATCGGTATCTCTCTTGGGATAAGAAGCCAATGGGGTTAAGGTGAGAGCAGAGTTTTCAACGCAGAAAGTAAACCGTCATGCAAAACTGCATGTAAGAAGAGCAGGACCAACCCGCGCAGGCTGATCCCGCAGGTCCTGCCAACACGGCACACAGGGAACGATGTCAGGGGGACAGAGGGGCTCTCGGCCAACGCTTGTGTGCTGAGCCCTGCTTCCCAATGTGGCCTTTTTCTCCTTCAATAAGCTCAGCCACTCTTGACTAGAAATGAGGCTTCCTGCCTCAATTTTGTTATTTTGTGAGTTGGAACAGTAAAGAAAGGCAGAAAGATGCTTCCTCCCCCTCCTAACGCAGCTACAGAAGGCAAAGCCACGCGGTTCCTCCTAAGAAGGGAGATGACCTTTCAAGAGTTTCTGATGAGGAGCAACTGTCCTGATATCTTATGCTGATCTCCGAAATACTGGCACACAGAACACAACATCCTTGGGAAAGCACCTGTGTGTACAAGGAGATGATAAAGCCCTGGCAATTCTGCTAACCCCACAGTGCTAATGGTGCACTAGAAGTGAGAACAAACGATCTGTTTAAATGTGGTTTAAGGATAAGGAATCCTTAAAGATTTGTCCATTCTGCTGTAGAAACTGTGCTAGCAACACAGGCAAGAGCTTCCTGGACTCAAGGATGCAAGGAAAAAGAAAAAAAGTGTTAACTACGGAGCAACCCAGGGCTTTATGAACAGATTTAATGCAATTCTCAGCCATGTCTGTTCAGAAGGCACAATCATGCTTGATCTCTGTTTGCAGTAATTACTCTTGCTTCCAGCACAGTTTCAATCATAGCATGGACGGTATGGAACTGGCAAGTTTTCTTAATTAAACCTCTGCCACTGTTTACAGCAGTCCACAAACAGGCCAAAGTCCTGCTGGAGTCAACAGGCATTTTGGGCAGACTATGGATCATATTTTCCGGTGGAAGATCTCGACCCAAAACTAGATGTAGCCAGTCAGCACAGTGAAGATGTGACTGCCCGCCTTACCTCCTCGTCTGAACGGGTGTCACTTCCAAAGCATACCTGGTCAGATGCCAGCAGGGACCATCCTCCCATCCTGCCCCACGGAAAGCGTCCGCAGGAATTTTGCCTGCATTAAGGACTGCGGAGCATTTGTTTTTAGAAAGAGAGGAAGACGCAAAAGAGATCATTAATAGCAGTACTACACACAAAACGGTGCAAGGACCAGAATATTCAGTCAGCAATGAAACGTCCTAATCAACCTCCCAGGCAAGCGGGCAAGTACCCGCAGAGTCAAACAATATCCCTCCTCTCGTGACTCCGGGGAGTTTGCCATTGACCTCAGCGAGATCTGACCTAACCACCAGAAAGGATGGACAAGAGGGTCACCTAGGATGAGGGGTTGTTCTTTGGTGCATGTCTCACTGTAGTCTGTAAGACACGAGTTATACATACTGATCTCCTGGCATATACCGTTATCCTACACAAGACTAGATCTTTATTTCCCCCAAAGAAAAAAAGATGTCAAAACTGCTTGCACTTTGGAAGATATCACATGCACATTTATCCCTTTTCTAATCCACTGACTCCCACACTAAAACGTGGTCAGTTCAGGAACAAACTAACAAAGAAAAGTAACCCATGCAGCAAATCTACTTAATTTCTTTTGGTCTTCTTATCCCAGGTTCCGCTCTATCAGGCCAGATAAACATATTGCAAGTTGTCAGCACAAAGTATCTGCCTCTGCAAAACAAAAACAAACCCAAGAAACCTGGGGGCTTGGGACTGGCACAAAGAATCCTGAAAGGGGGAGTGCCATGCACAGGGATCTGCAAAATCAATTATTGCATCAGCAAAACCAAGCCAAAACAAAAAACAAAACCCCCAAAAAACCATCCACACAAAACATTGTCAACCATTAAAATAATAAAAAACATTATTTTTTTGACATAGCTATAAAAATCAAGTAGTTTATAAAACTGCAACAAATGAAGTCCGGTTGTGTATTCTTTTTCCTTTTATTAGACAGGACAGAGAATTTCCTTAAAATGCCATAACAAGTCACAGTGATTTTAGATGGTTTTTTGAAATGTAATATATTGACGGGAAATACCTTTAACATGGTTTAACTCTTTTTTTTTTTTGTCACTGTATATGTACCCTGGTCCACCAAACCATCTATCTTAAAGTTTCTTTTTCAGAGAGGACACTCTGTCTTCTTCCTCCAAAAATGAATTTTGTCTAATAATCCTGCAAAATAATCAACCTTACAAAAGGCCTTCTTCAAATGTTATATTTATATATATATGTATATACATATATATACACACACATACACACATATATATAAATATAGACTTCTATGATTTTTTTTCCCATTCTACGCAATGTCTCAATAAAGAGATCAGCAATTTTTATTCTACAAAGAAGCAACACATAAAAGGGGAAAATTAAAGTCTTAAGAACATCATATCCATATTTCACTGATTACACATAAAAGGAAAAAAAATCACCATGAACAACTGTCTTTGAAGTTTTCTCAGATTAGCAAAATTCAAGTGCAGAGAGGCCCCGTCTCTCGCTGCCAGCGGTTACTGGGCGGCTGAGGACAGCCCAGCCCGGCGCCCCGCCACTCGGCGTTTTCTGCACTTCCCTCCCGCGGAGTCGGACGTGGTTGGAATGTATGGAGTTTAGGAAAGGTTCCCAACAAAGACCTCGCCGTCGGACAATCCCCTCTAGGCCAGCTTCAGTGTGCTCACTGGGAATGATGGCATGGTTACCATAGTCACCGGATTTAGGACCGTTTGCCCAACTAACTGCGGGTGATGAACAACTTGGGTTCCTACAGCAGGCTTGGCCATCACCGCTTGCTGGCCAAGGTTTGTGGTTCCATTCACTTGCTGGTGCGAGATCGTGTGAGCGATATGGCTCACCACGGGCTGGCTGACGGCCACGGGCTGAGGGTAGATGGGCAGCTGCTGGCCGAGGTGGGCCATGTGGTTGATGGTGGCTGGGTGCACAGTGATGTGGCCGATAGGCTGAGCAGCAGTGGTAAGTTGCACAGGGCTGGACGTGGAAGGTGCAATGTGAGCAATGTGCTTGGTCTGTGGACCCTGAATCACGTGGTTGACAGTCTGAATGACCGAAGCGTGGGTAGTGGCGGTGTGGGCAATAACAGTCGATTGCACTGTCGAAGCCGCCACGATGTGAGTCTGTGCAGGGACGATCGCCTGCGGCTGGACCAGTGCTTGTGTCTGGATGGGAGGCTGTGCGTGGGCTGGGGTCTGTTTCTGCTGGATGGACAGGTGCTGAGGCAGAACCGCCGGGTGGTGGGAAGCAGCGTTTGGAGGGACGGCTTTCAGGAGCTCTGGGTGCTGGCGCTGGGTTAGTTTTGGTAATGAGTTCACTGGCCTGTCATCTTCCATGTCTTCATCCATGTTGTCTTCACCCTCTGGAAAAAACGAAAGGAAGAAACTCCCATAAAAAAGAAAGCAGAGCACCAACTGGACTAACCAGCCTCCCTAAAAGGCAGCACAGGCAGAAGAGACGACAGCAGGAGGAGTCACTGAACTATGGGCAGGCAGCATTGCACGGCACGGCACGGCACGGCAGGCTCCACCAAGCCCCAGTGGGGCAGCACACCCCTCTCCTCCCTGCCTGTGGGCCAAGGACCCGGAGCCAGGCAGGCGTGACCAGCTCGAAGCCCCAGCTAGAGAGGGGTGCTCACAGGCTGAGAGATCTCGCTCGGCAGGCACGGGAAGCAACGTGAGCAGAGGCAGACGGAGGGCACCTGGGCTGAACTCCGTCTGGGCTGCGGAGGGCTCCTTCTGGGAAGAAGAACAAGGTTTCCTTTCCTGTCCAGTTGTTCCACCGATCAGTAACACCCCTTCTGCTCCCAGAGCAGGCAGGAAACAGCCATGGAGAAACATGGCAGCAAGTTCCTCGTCTGGTTCTGGAAAATGGACTCTCGTCCAGTCCACGAACTAATGAAGCAATGCAGGAACATGCTGACCCTGCAGAGATCAGGAAGACGAGCAGGGCACCTTGCACTGCCTGCTCTAAAGCCAGCCATGCAGTAGAGATTAAAAATCTCGGAAGATACAGAAGCAGCAGGAAAACCAGGGAAGACACTTCCCTTTTGCAAGCTCTGTGGTTAGTAGCAGCTTGAAGCGATCATTTTCAGCAGAGGCCGGCTGGAGAGGTGAACGGCTGACACTCTGTTGACAAAGCACACCTACTCTCAACTTCCATCAGCCTACACTCGGAGTCTGCAAGTATGTTCAAAGGTGATGAGCCCGATGCAAACCTGAATGAACTAGAAAGCTCAGGTTTTCCCTTCCTGGAACCCGCTGTATCGTCTGCCTGGAGTGCCAAGAGCAAATGTTGTCGTGATTTGAAGAAACTGCTGCAAATGGTTACGGACTGCTACAGCCTCCCCATCTCTGGATAGCAAAGCACTGTACATCCATGGACTGCCTATTCTTCCTGCTGCAGATCACTGGTATGGAGAAAAGCATGCACTCTCCTATCTCACAACAACTTCTTACTGGGAATAGCACGCCAGATATTTGTTAGTATTGTTTCATCTTCGCTGTGAATCCTTTTCACACAACGTGAAGGCTCATTAAGTTGTTCAAATGCTCTGGTGATCCTTCCTGTACCAATTCCTTCTTCTCTGCATGGCTGAACACCCTCCCACATCCACGCACAAATACATCAGGATGCTCATACACCACTCAGTTCTAATGAGCAGGGATGCATATTTGTGCAAGAGGAAAACTAAGTTTTGAAAGCAGAGAGCTCCATGTGAGGTATCAGCAGATCGAATGTGCAAACCTGCACTTTGTATCTACCTAATGTTGATGGACAATTTTCAGTCTACTTTACACAAGCAGCCGTGTATTATTAGGCCAACATCAATGATTACAACACACTTGAAAACCTTTTACTTTATTCTGAATGCAAAGAAACCTTGATGGTGCTAAATGAAGATCCCCATCACCACTACATAACTGTGCCAGTGACACACAGTGATGGTCACAAGAAGAGAGTAATTACGGGTACCTGATGCTGTCGAGGTAGATGCCTGGTCATCCTCTGGCTGAACTGTCTGTCGAATAATTCTGTCAATCTCCAAGATGTCCATCCACTGGCTCAACTCGTTCTTCAATTCTGCCAGTCGCTGCTGGGTAGCAATCTTCTCTCTTGCCAGCCGCTCCATCTCATGTTCATATTCTTTTTCCTTTCTCTTTAAAGTCTAAAGACAGAAAGAAGAAGAGGAAATAAAAGGAGAACAAAGACAAATATCATCTATACTAACCTGGTCACTCCCACGCCCATAGCTGGTTTTCTTTTATTACCAGTTATGCTGGTGTAAAATGTGTTCAAATAGTTATGCCTTTCAAATTCAGGCAGAAAGGGAAAGGACGAGAGCTGGCCACGAAAACCTAGAGGGTTACTTTGGCTAACCGCTTTCTGCCTTATGAAGGAAAACTGACAGGCCTCCAAAAAGTAAATGCTTAACCACGTCAGGTGTGAGTTCCTTCAACTCCAGGGGTAAATTTAAAGCCTAGAACTCCTCAGAAAAAGTTGTAAGGGTTTCTCTCTGAAAAAAAGTATTTCTGCCACTCTAAAGATAGAAAATGAAATCTTCTTCCTGCATTCTTCCTCTTTGTCTCTAACCTCCCCAACAAAACTAAAAAATTAAGAACCAAGAGCGCTGAACTATGACTATGACTCGTATCTGTAGCATGGAAGCCAGACCCTTCCCAGCACAGCACTTCCACCCTGCTGATTTCCTAAGCTAAACACAGGATGCTGACGGTACGTGTGTGCAAATGCTGGCAAGAAAGAACCTCTGTAAGGACACCAAAAAACGACTCGTGGATGCAGAGTGCTCGTGGACCATGAAGCAGACTGTCCGACATCCCAGACAGGGATTTGTTGGAGGTGCAGCAACATACACCTGGGCTCTCTGTTCACTCCTCTCTTCTGTTTCAGTCCAAGGGAGCTCCTTATTGCACTTCAACATCAGTTTAGAGTGACAGGGGTCAGTGCTCAGCTCCCAACATCAGCCTCACTTCACCTGCCTTATGAAATACTTGAGGAGGATTAGGGCTTATCACAGGCTGGTGGGGAGGTGCAAAGGGAGGGAAATGGGTGCAGTTCCCTCTGATTGCCAGGCGAGAGGACATGAGATCACCGTCAGTTCGCCACTCGGCGAGTGGGGCTATGGAGTTTTTACCACATGTATCTATTCCCAAGCACCCCTAAGGAAAGGGAGACCAGTGCTCCTGCACACCAACGGACTGCTGGCCCATGGCTTGAGAAAAGTGGAAAAAACCCCACATCCTTGCACGAAGACAGAAACCTTGTGCAGAAAACTCTGCTCTTATGCGGGAAGATAAAACCACAGACATATTGAAGTACTTCAAAGACAAGGTGCATAGGAAGAGATAGTATCTTTTGCTAAATGAACTGACAGGAGCTGGGGAAAAAAGACAAGCTTCGGGCACACAATCCCAAGTATGTCTACGCAAAATCATGGTGCATTTCTGTAACCAGCACATAAATCATGGAGAGAGAGGGTATTTTTACATGGTCAGAAGAAAAGAAAAACCACAAGTACTAATTAGCTTCTGAGCAACACACACCACACCAAGAGCTCCTGCCCTAGAAGAGACGGCTAAGAGCCGACAACACCCTGCATCACGGGGGAAATCCTGAAGTCAAATGCGAAGAAACAATATACGTTCTCCTCTTCTGCTAATGTCCACTCAGCATGGGAAATCTGATACTTTCATCGGCAGGGAAGGGAAGAGATGCTGCGTCAGTCAGCACAGTACACAAAAATGCTAAACATTACCCAGTACTATTAATGGGGAATATAAACCGCATGGATCTGATGGGGATAAATTATTGAGCAGTGCAGCAGAAGAACAACAGCTGATCTTCACAAAAGGTACTGGTTTATGAGATTTTTAAGCCAGTAGTGTAGCACTGGATAGTAACAGGACAGAGAACCTGTCCTCTAGCCCAGTCAGCACTGATTATAAGCATAAAAGAGACAAAGTAAGTGAAATCTGCAAAACCACGTATAGCCTGTCCATTCTCTAAAGTTAAGTTTCGCCATTGGGAATCTAAATCACATACACACTTCTGAAAATACCAGCTATATAGAGCCTGCATGGATGCTTTTTCACTCACTGCTGGCAAGCACCGAATTTAAAAGCAAAGCTTACACTTAGCAGAGCGGCAGAGGATCAGACTCATGATCTTCTGAATATGTGCTCTTTATTTCCCTCTCAAGTTCTCCAGGACAACTGCAATCAGAACCTGACCTCATGCGTTTCAATGGTTCTGCTGGTCTTTTATCTCAAAAATTAGCTGGGAATAACTTTAAAGCCTGTTCAGCCAGGCTTTTAATTCAACCTAAGCCAACAAAATGACTAGGGTAGCTCCTGCATTCTTCTTATAGAAAATTAAATTTAAAAAAAAAAAAAAAAAAAAAGGGTACCTTTGTCCTGATAATAACAAAAAAAGGAAGTATTTTTAAAATGGCCAAACAATGCATATTAGCAGGGCACAATCATTGCAGATGTGGTAATGGAGATAACTCCTCTCAACGAGGCTTATGCTTTGCCTCCTGGCACAGCTGGCTTTAGATCAGCTAAAAGCCTCTCGAAATGGACAGTTTTCAGGCAAAGGGGGCAGTGCTGTCCCTCTCGCTGCTTTTTAAACCATAAGCAGGCAGTGGATATGTCAGTTCCTCAATACCAAAGTTTTATACTGGGAAACCCCAGCAGACCTGTAGCCTACAGCAGTGAGAGGAGTTACTGGGACAGAGGGTGTCTGCAGCAGGGAAGGTCTCTGGGTGCAGGAGAGGCAGGTAAGCAGGGACGGGGACTCCCAGAGTCCTGGCTCTGCACCAGCACTCACTCCTAGCCCCGAGATGGCGTTTAGATCCATACATGGCTGAAGCCAAAATCCATATGCTACTTTTAAAGTCTCTTACCCTACTGAGTGTGGCCGAAGCACTTTGCCTGACCCAGAAAACACAGTCATGCTGCATGTGTGCTTTGATTTCCTTGTGGGATGTAGGTCAACACAGAGGGCAAAGCTAAGGCAATGAGGAAGGTGCACGCTTCTGTGCTCAGGTTTAAATATGCAAGAAGAGAACTCATCTGAATGTCTTCCTCTTCAGTCTCTAATCAGGAAAGAAGCAAGTAGGAGAAAGCCTGAGACTAAAATCACTGCATTCAGACAGAAGCCCGCAGCTCTGCAGCATTTCTCTCCAAGCACATTCTCCATGCAGCTACTCATAGGGCACGATAATGAAAGGACAGAATACAGTAACACAGCTTTCCGGGAAGTGTAAGAAAGAAATCCACGCAGCCTTGGCACCCATACTGTGCACAGCACAAGCATATTCAAGCAGATTTGGCTTCCTTCCCTGCTGCAAGAGAAGACTCCTAGCACCAGGGGAAAGCACGACTAACCAGCCGGTAATTAGTTACGAACTTTTAATTACTGAAAAGGCAGGCAAACCCTTAGCAAGCCCCAGGACGAGTCTCCCAGCGAGTGGGGCCAGGGAGCTCGCTCTGTCGCTCTCCGGGTGCTCCACTCCTCCAGTCCAGGCTTGGGGACGTGGCACTGCTCCAAGCCCGGCCCCGCGGGCTCTGCCTCCCTCTGCGCTGCCAGCAGCCCCAGCCCTCCCCGTGC